ATTATTTGAAAAAATAGGGTTTTTTTTTTTCTGATTAACTGCTTCCATGCTTGATGGAAAACTCCTAAAGGAAATGCCTGAAAAAGGCAAAAGTCCATGGGCTTATCCCCTATGAAGACTGCTTTAGCTCCTGCCTCTGATCATGGCTTGCAATAGTTTCACTTTGAAATAAGAAGCAGTCAGCTTTTTCATTCTAAAAAGTTTCCAAATCTGACTCTGTTAACTTAGTCTGTCGGCTGTTGGCTCTTAACAAAGCTGTGTTCCCTCCCACCCTGCTGGCCGATTGGCTAGCTCCAATCTGGGCTCATCTCTTTTGTAGAATTTTTTTTTTTTTTTGGTGCAGCCACTATGGAAAACAATGTGGAGATTCCTCTTTTGTAGAATATTGTTGACAGTGTCAAGAATTAGCCAACACACATCAACAGTCTAAAAATTTCTTACCATTTTCATTAATGTCATAGCCCTTTGTCTGCACCTTCCCAGGCTCTGCTAGCCACTGTTTTACCAGGATTGCTAACTCTCCAGTCAGTCTGGTAGCCACTGTTTTACCAGGATTGCTAACTCTCCAGTCAGCAATAGTTTTGTCGTTGTTATGTCACTCAATCATATCCTTTAAACTAATCCTATGTTTTAGCAAATGCAGCAGTCCCCTTTTGGTATCAAAATCTATGTTAGTTAGAATTCAGTTTGGGTGCATGTGTCAGTGGCTAAAGTGATGTGTAAGTTTGTTTCTCTCCCTTGTAAAAGAGTTTTGAAGGAGGCCATCTAGAGCTGATATAAAAGCTTTGCAGTATCATTAGTATTTCAGATCTTTTAGCTTCCTGTTCACCTGCCCAGAGTGAGGGCATTGACTGTGTGGTTCAAGATGGCTGCTGAAGTTCCAGACATCACATCCATTTTCCATATACAAAGATATAGGAAGAGGGGGAAGAGTGTACCCTTCCACTTCCCTTGAGATTTTCTGAGCATTCTATACTACATTATAACTGAACCATCAAGAGCTTCGAGAGAGGCTGGGAAATATATCTTATCTTTCAGCTGGGTAGATATATCTAGCTGTTTATCAAAGTCCTGTTACAAAAGTGAAAGCAAGGTGGATATGGGGGTAGAAACTAACAGCCTCTGTCACAGAAACATGTTTAAGTAATTATAAATCAAGGTAAACAGTTTTGTATGCCTTAACGAAGCTTCAGGTAGGTTTCAGTGGGAATTCAGCAGGGCAGAGGTAGCCTCCAGCTGGATGGACCATGGAAGGCTTTCAAAAGGAGGCAGTACAAATTCATTCTTTGAGTAGGAGGGGAGTAGGACATTTAAGCAGGAGAGTCTGGGGCATGAGGGCAGAAATTTTGTGCCCTTGGTGCCTGGCTGACCTACCCCCCTCCCCCGCCCCGTCCCAACCTTGGACTAGAATAGAAAGTACATTAAGGAGGCAGGTGGCAAATAAGGGTGGGATGTCGGCCTTACCAATTTCAAGTAAAGAAATGAAGTCTTCTCCCACACATATCAAGAAGAAAGCCTTGCATCACCAGCCAGCTCCACAGGACAGTCTGGCAATCCTTCAACCGAAGGAAGGATTTTGCTGTTAATTAGCAGAGTAATTTCTTGTGAACCATACGCCAAAGACAAATTACATTCATCTTGCTGTGGATATTCTGAGATTCTGAGTAGTGTTTTACTCATTGCATGATTAGCCCTACATCAGATCTTGAGTGAGGAAACATTCAGGACATCTGCCACGATGCTAATATAGCCGACACCTGCTGTAAAGCCACACAGAACGAGGATGGGGTAAGTGTGTGCAGGGAGCAACACTTCTCTCTGTGTGGCGTGTGGGCTGCAGAGCGCATGCTCACACGTGTCTGCGGGAGGGAGCATTTCTGGGTTTGCCTTGTAACACTGGCGGGAAGGGGCGGGGCTCAGGCGGAGTGTCATGCGCTTAGTTACTCTAGTCCGAGAGTAGCTTGGTTCACATGCACTGAATATGAAGACAAATGGTTATGAAAGCCTTTACTTAGAAAGATGAGCTGGGAAATGCAAGAAGTTGGTTATACTGCATGGTTACACTATCGTGAAAGTAAATGCCACGTCACCTCTTTTCCTAATCTCTCTGATTAAGAAACTGGAGGTCTAGGTTTATAATTTTCATAACCACACGTTTTAGATCCTGATTCTCCTGCCAATAACAAAGATATTGGAAGCCTCATACATTAGTTGGTCTTCCTGTAACTCTCTGGTAGCAGGGTGGGGAGTTGAAAAGTGATGGATGCAATTTATAGAGGTACTTTCTAGATGCCAACCTCTTACCATTCATTATCTTATAAAACTCTTTGTTCTTCCCTCTAATTGTAGATGGAAGAAATAGAGGTTTATAGAGATATTAAGTTGTGTGTTCAGTGGTCATCTTGCTTATGTTGGAGAATGTTCTCAGATGGTAACTCGCTTCCTCTTGAGAAGAACATCTTTGGGCAACTTCAAGCGTTGGAAAGTTATTTTTTATGTTTAATCCAAAAGTTAATTCCTCATAACTTCTGCCTGCTGATTCTAATTCTATCCCTAAATACGCAAAAAAATAGCTATCATGTTTGCAGGGTTATTTTGTCTTCTGATTGAAAATTCAAATTCCTCATGTGGTCTGATTTCAGACTTCCTCCTTACTGGTCTTGCTGTTCTTTGAATATGTTCCCGTTTCTCTACAAACTTTAAAGAAGTGAACACAGTAATCCACCTGTGGCTTTCTAAATGCATATTCAAAAGGAGACTGTCACCTCCCTCATTCCAGATATTATACTTCTATTAATGGAACCTAGAATTTCATTACATTTTTTAGGGTGTCAGGGAGGAGGCATTAATATTTTATCATTGATTTTCACTGAAGATGTTGCTGACAAAATCTGTAATTCATATTTTTTTCTTATATTTAATTTTGCTACAACTTGTTACCTCCATACTCTGTTTCTGCAGTTGGTTTTTTTTGTTTTTTTGTTGTTTTTTTTTTTGATGTTGACACAGACCTTACACTTGTCACAGTTAAATAACATTTTATGAAATTCAGTCCATTTGATTTGGGTGCTTAAGATGTTTTTGAAGATTGATACTGGCATCAACATTACTTCTAACTTCCTTTCATCAGCTAATTTGGAAGCCTGCTGTCTACATTTTCTAAGCAAGTACAGCTAATAAACAGGGCAGAGGTTTGACCAGTGTCTGGTGCTCTCCTTCTAGTTAACATTGATCCATTTCAAGGAGAACAGTCCCTGGCACCTGCCCATTGGCAATCTGTCCTTCTCGGGCTCCTTTTGGTATGCAGATCCTTGTTTGTAATGTTTTCCCTTCAGCAGTGCCCTAAAGTCTTCCATCACTTAATATTTCAAGGTCTGCACATTTTCAAGGTCTAATTCAAAGCCCACCCGCTACATGATATCTGCTCTGACCCACTGTGATTTTCCCATCTCAGAATTCCCTTTGCATAGGCTGTTTATTATTATTATTTTGTTGTTTTTGAAGTATAATTGATTTACAGTATTAACTAGTTTTAAGTGTGCAGCAGAGTGATGCAGTATTTTTGCAGATTATACTCTATTACAGGTCATTATAAGATAATGGCTGTAATTCCCTGTTATACAGTATACAGTACATCCTTCTTGCTTCTCTGTTTTATACAGTTTGTTTCTGTTAATCCCATACACCTAATTTGTCCCTCCTGCCTAGCTCCTTTGCAGAGATTCTTAATTCCCAAGCCCCAATGAGTTTTCACCAATGTCAACTCCATCTTTACCTCCAATGTCATAATGGCAAGAACATGTTATTTTTAAGCCTCTACCATACGGCTACAGCAGCACCAGGCTGAGAGTGGTGTTCCATTGTCACTTTTTGGGGGACTGGGCAGGGGGATTAGGTTTATTTCTTTCTTTCTTAATGGAGGCACTGGGGATTGAACCCAGGACAGGACTTCATGCATGCTAAGCACATGCTCTACCACTGAACTATACATTCCCTGCCCCACCGGCCCACCATTGTCACTTGTTTTTTATTCATTAGGCTAGCAGTTCTCAATGGTGGATGGTTTTGTCTGCCTCCTTCTCCCTCCCCAGGGAACATTCAGCAATGTCTAGAGATTGTCCCAACTGGGGAAGTTGCTACTGGCATCTAGTCGGTTGAAGCCAGGGATGATGCTAACATCCTAAAATGTACTACAGAGCCCCCCCAACATCAAAAGATTTTCCAAAATATCAACAGTGCTGTTAATGAGCCCTGTATTAGACAATTCAAATGTGTTTTGATTGACTTTTTAAAGGGCCGCTCTATCTGCCTGAGAATAGGTACATTTCGGAGGCAGGGAGCATGTCTGGTGACCCTTCCTAGAATGATGAAATGCTGTGTCTGCAGTCCCGTTTGGACTTCAGGCCCGGGCAGTTAGTCCTGGTACATTTCTGAAGACGTGATTGAAGGGCATTAGTAGGTATCACTACAGATGTAAGGAAGCTGATTCCACAAGCTACCCCTAAAGGTTAGTTTTATTGGTTTCTGGCTATGCCCTGTGTAAATATCTAGGTTTTGGCCTCCTCCGTTTATTTCTATGTTAGAATGAGATAATAATCTCCTTTCTCCAGCTGTTTCATAAGGGTATTTTGAAGAGCAAGGCGATAATATAGCTGAAGAATTTTGAACTCTCTGGTGGGAAAATTACTATTAAAGCATTAGAATGGTTAGTAGTGGCAATCTGGGGTAGTGGAGGAACACAGTATTTTCTATTCAGTGTGTTACACTCCAAAGAAAAGAACTCACGAAGGCAAATGTGTTGCTCTGGTTCTGATGCCTATTTCTGTGGCCAGAGCTGATCCCCTCAACTATAAATATGCCTTCCAGCTATGTGACCTGGGGAGACCCTACCGGGGAGACTCTCCCCGACCCACGGAATGTGGCCAGGTCCAAAATAGTGGATGAGGAATAGGAAAATGTTTGCCAATCTTAGTGCTTTTAGTCTTTCTATAAATTGAAAGGTTGCTGGATGAAGAAAGTCATCTCTTGATGAACTCAGCTGGTTTCCACGTCCTCTCCCAGAGCTCTGAGGGACATTTCCACACACCCACAAGGAGTTAAAGACCCCTGAGCTGAGACAGGATGGCTGTTCTCAAGCGTGTGTCCCCCTGGCATGCAGTCTCTAGCCTCCATGACGCCTGCCTGCCTCACCTACTGTTTGTCTGTGACTCTGTGGCTGCCGTGTGGTTGGCATCCACCCCCACGCTGGCATGCCAAAGGAGTGAATGAACAATGGCCTATCCTGGCACCGATGGATATTTTAATAACTGTGGAAAATGAGGAATTTACAGATGCATGATTCAAGCTCCCACTTCAAAGGTCCTCACCCGAAATCCTCCTGAAATTAGAAGCAAGACTGCCGAACACAATGCAACCTTTTGCATGGCTGCCCCACGTTACTATAAATCTGTGTGTGTGTGTGTGTGTGTGTGTGTGTGTAGTGTTTGGGAAAGTTACATTCCTGGGAAACTGGTGTGCTGCTTTCATCTGGAATTTATGTGTAGCGTTCAGCAGGTAGGTCCCGCTGGGGAAATAGCAGGTATGTCATGGGAAGCAATTTGCTTTTCAAGGGCCAGCCAAGACTCAAAACAGGCCTGGGCTATTTGACCAGTTACTTAACCAGCAACTCTACAAGGTTGGATCTTCCTGGGTCTGACCAGTCCTCGCTCTGAGTGGAGAACATTCTCTCGCTCCTGGACCTGGTCTGAAACTCCATCTGGAATGGGGAGAATTAAAATTAAGTCATCAGCATCCCATTCCTTTGTCCAATACCCCACTTCCTATCACGTCTCAGTAGAGACTCAAACTCTTTTGATGTTTCCAGTGGATGCCATCTTTCCCGCAATGGTTCCCTATTCAGGTCTGGCCTCTCCAGCCAGGCCCAGGCTCCAGACCTCCTTTTTCCTTTCATGAACAATTACTACCACTCACCCAAGGCTTGGTGTGCAAGTGATGAAACCTTGCTCACCCTGTGAGGTAGAGATTGCCACCTCTATTTTGTCTATAAGGGAACAGCCTCAAAAAAGCAGAAACAACTTGTCTCAGGGCACACAACCAGAATTAGAAGTAGAAGTTCTAACCCAGGCCCGAAGCCCAAACTCACACACTGAATGATATTCCTCCTACTGCTCCCCTTGAAACTGAACTGTGATATTTCCCATTCTTCCAAATGAGCGGACACCCTGCTATTTACCACTAACATATTTTTGTAGTATTTGTATCTTGGTAGGGTTTTCCTGGACACAGCGCCTGAGCGCAAGGCCTGATTGTGAGTGTTAGAGTTCCCCACACTTTGACAAGTGTTGAGGGGAGGGTGGAGCCTTTCAGCTCTACCAAATATACCACCCAGATGGGGAGGCCAGTGGTTTGTTCTCCTGACTGGTCCAGTCCTTGAGGGAGTTACGCAGCCATGACTCCCAGACAGTCCTCTTTTGGACACCTTTGATGTTTGTCTTCATGACACCTGTTTTATTCCCTCTGATTTCAAGGCTGACCAACATTTAACTTTGTATCCCTTCCTGATATGCAAAAACCTTTCAGCCAGATTGGTGTCAAGTGTCTTCTAGAGATTTCCTTGATCAGGTGTCTCTCTGAGGCAGGCAAAAACTGTGAGCTCCCAACTGACTGGCATTAGCCACAAAAGCCTGTGCTGTATTATTGTTACCATTTCATACTCGCCAGAAAACATTTGAGAAATGTATCATAGTTTTTTTTTTTCAGTTGATAAAATTAAGTGTATTGTACCGTATTCTATTACACTCTGATATTATGCTGTTAGATATGAGGGAAGTTCATTCTCAAAGGCCCTGGGAGGAAACTCTCATACATAAGCTTGATGCCATCAAACATAAACGTGGACAGAGAGACAGCTGCCTGAATCTTTATGTCGTTTTAATTTTGAGGAAATTAAATGAGGAAAATGGAATAATTTACGTGATTTCCCCCCCCCCAAAGACACATTTCTTAATGAATCCAGACTTTGACAAGAAAATAGAAGCAATGGATGATGGTAGGAGTTTCGCTGTGGCCAGCATGACACACATTACATTATTTTTTTCACGAGCTCCAAAATTATAAATGGGATGGTTATGCCTGGTTGACTGTGGTAGAGATTGATGATAGTTCAGTGAAGGATCAAAGAAAAATTATTTTCCCAGTTCTTAACCTATTCACATTGTTTAAAAAAAAATCCTCCTAGTTTTCCCTCTTTTTCTCTTCTTTCCCAGAGCAGTGCAGGCCAGGAAGGCCTTGCAGTGTGACTTCAGGGCCAGGTGTTTCAGTGCCACGTGACGCTGTACGTCATCTGTGGCTGTTGCTGACTCTCCTCGGGTGATGGAACGCTCTTCCTGGAAGTCTGGATCAGGGAGGGGAGTCGAAAGCATGGATGAAGCTCATAGGAATCCATCGAGTTGGCGGAAGACTTCTCAAAACTCACTTATTTTCTGCCTTTCTTCCTGTAGCTTGAAAATATTTTAATCAAGGCTGCGTATCCCTCCTTTAATTCTTGCTTTGATAACAGTATCTTTGTTCTTCTTCATTCTGAGTAGTTAAAATATTTCCAGTATCATTTCTTTGGCATCCTGTGAATTGTCTTTCTGAATTTCTAATTGCATGGATTTTTAACTTGTTTATTTATTTTTCTTATTTTTTATTGAATAAAAGATTCTTTAAATTCTGTAGTGCTTTATGACTTTCAAAACTATCATACACATGATTTCATATAATCTCATAATAAATCCTTTGTTTTTAAATCCTCTTCTCCTATCTTGTCCCTCCCCATTGGTAACTACTAGTTTGTTCTCAGTATCTGTGAGTCTGCTGCTTTTTTGTTTTATTCACTAGTTGGTTGTATTTTTCACTTAGCATAGTGCCCTCCGAGTCCATCCATATTGCTGCAAAAGGCAAAATTTCATTCATTTTTATGGTTGAGTAACATTTCTTTGTGTGTATATATATATATATATACATATACCAATCTTCTTTATCCATTCTTCTTTAATTTGTTTATTTTTGTGTGTAATATCTAACTTGACTATAGTGTGGTCCAAGAACATGGCCTTTACATGTCGATTCTCTGAAATATGTTGAAACTGGTTTTATGACATAGTTTTGGTAAGTTTTTGTAACATCTCAAGTATATTTCAGAAAAATACGTATTCTCTAATGGTTTGGTCCAGAGTTCTATATCTGTCTATTAATTCAAGCACAGTGATCCTGTTATTGAAATCTATTTCTTTAAAAATTTTTGTCTGCTTGATCTGTCAACAAGTGAGATAAGTATGTTGAAAGCTCTTACTATGATGATGGGTAGATCAATTTTTACAGTTTATTAATTTTGCTTTATAAGTTTCCAAGTTATTAGGTATACACAAGTATAGAATTATTACATGATACTGGTTAATTTAATGTTCAAAAATTATTAGGTAATAAAGACCCTCTTTATCTTCAAGAATGCTTTCTGCTTTAAAGTCTATTTTGTCTTATGTTAATTTCATGCCCCCCCCATTGCTGTTTTGTTATTTTGGTTAGTATTTGTCTATATAGTTTTTCTTCTTTTTACCCTTGACCTTTCCATATGTTTATATTTTATTGATGTATCTCTTGTGAATAATACATATCTTTAAACAAAACAAGGAAACAGTTTGGCAATCCTTGTGTTTCTACTGCCTAGTTCATTTCAGTTACATTTATTGTGATTTGGAATATATTTGACTTGTTTCTACCACCTTACTTTAACTTACACTGTATCTTTGTCACATTCTATTTCTCTCCTTAGTGAAAACCCTTGAAATTTTTCTCCTTTTTCAGAAGATATGAGCTTCACCTTTTCATAAAGTGTAATGTGCTACTCTGTTTATGAAGCCAAAGCAGTTGTGAATTTAACAACAACAAAGTAGGAAGAAGCTAATGTCCTGATCCCCAACGCTGCCAAAATATGCAGTCATTTGTTGATCATAATTGTCTGATACTTGAAAGAAATCTCAAACTGTAGGGTTTTTTTTATGGTTTTGTCTTGTAATATGCTCGATAAGCTGTGAAAAAACTTTTTTTTTCTACAAGCTGATTTAATAAGGAATTTTCTCTCTTATTTAATTATTGTTTTTTCCTATTAGCCCTTTTCCCACCATGTCTGGATTTGTCTCTGGCTGCCTGGTTTCTAGAGATTCTGAACCTTGCACATGATCCTGCAGTTTGCCTTTCTTCCTTCACCATCCCTTGTCGTCTCGCCAGCAGCCACATAGTAGCCCGTAGCCACTGACAACCCACAGGCTCCAGCATCTAACACAAAGAAACAATTATACTTCTACATTAGAGATATTTAATAAACACAGAAGAGTAAAGCTCAGAGACTTGGACTGAAGTGGAGAGTAAAAGAGATGGAGCGATTTTTAAAGTTCATGGAACTTAAATCAAAGGAAGCAACATCACTACTGTTTTTAAAGTTCATGGAACTTTTCTTAAATCAAAGGAAGCAACATCACTACTGTCTAGTTTTTTTTTTTTTTTTTTTTTTTTTGCCACGTCTCTATGTGCTCTTTTACCTCCCCACGTATTTATCTGTTTTTCACATCCCATCGCTTATCCCGGGCCTAAAGAATTTTATGCAGCAGCTTATTTAAGAGCTTATTCAGTTCAATGACGTTATAAAATAGCTCAAATTTTCCATTGCTTCAGGAGAAACATTTGTTTTAAAGTCATCATAAGAGCTAAAAATCGAAGTTGTGGGTAAACAGGAGTCATGGGAAAAGAGACTTCTTTTTAGATATTCTTTATAGTATTCAGAGTTTTAAAAGATCAGCACATAATTTAAAATAATATCAAATGTCCTTTTTACATTAATGATCCTATAATATGACATTGTCCTCAATTGATAGACTCTCATGCCAGTCCGATGGCACATGATCTGTTCAGACTTTTTAACCTACAGTTGGCTCTTCTCAGATGTCAGCTGGTGTATGCTCAAGAAATGTAAACTGACATTTTATATGCATCTAAGGAGATTATTATAAGGCAAGCAAATTTACTGTGGGAACATCGAATGCGGGTGCCCATTGGTCTTCCTTATGGTGAATAGCATATGGACTTCGGAACTGTCTCCAATTACTCCATCGGTTTTTGGTGGTTTGGAACTCAAGGCCACTAGAGCTCAATTATTAAAAAAAAAAAAAGGGGGGGTTTAGGAGATAAGGATCAAAATGAAATATCCAGAACAGGTGTTTGTCTGCAAATGTGTGTATGCATTGGCACACAGCTCGTGAAATTGCAGTGTGTGCCAGCTTGGTAATTGTGGGTGGAATTTGGGCATTAGCTCTAGAAAAGGCTACCTGCGCTGTTTCTTTCTTTCTTTCTTTTTTTCCTCCTCCAAACAAAAGCCTCCAGGACTGCATATTTTCTATGTGAGCAGTAATAATCCAGAAATAAGCAGTGAGAAATGGGTTGTTCCACGTAAGATGAATGTGTTTACCCCAAACTGCCTCTTTCAAATGCAAATCTTTGTGAAATATATCATACAAACTATGCAGTCTTCCTTTGTGGAACATACTGGATAGAATTTAACCTTATCTGATAGGTAGGGTCATTATTAGAAAACTCTGTCATTTTCTGATGCAAGAATACAGGATGCCCGTAGGGTTATTGAACTGTGTGGCGATGTGGGCCCTGAATTAAATGCCCTGCGGACTGGAATTACTGAGCTTTTCTTATCTGCTGTCCATGCTTTTTCTGTTTCTGGCTTGGTAAAATTGACCTTCCTAATTTTAATTCCTGACTTATTAGTCATTCTGGACATTGAATTGACAGGTTGTTGGTCATTGTTGAAGCTGGGCAATATTTATGCAATGTTTACTCTATTCTCTCTACTTGGGATATGTTTGGATATCCCATAAGACAGAGAAGCCATGAACTCCTGCCACAAGGTGAGGGCTTGTCGCAGACTGTACCTCCCAAAGACGGCTGCCAACAATCTTCCATTCCACAATCCTTTCTACTCTATGACCTTGACCCCCATGGGGAGATGAGGTCTGCATCGTGTCCGCTTATATCTGGGCAGGTTTGTGATGAGCATGGCAGAATTGGCACTGTGTCTTCTAAGCCTCAGCCAGAAAAAGGCAATGCAGTTTGCACCTGATCACTCACTTTTGGAGTCTGAGTCATCTTGTAAGAGATCTGACCTTTGAGCAAAAACGCAGGCTAAGCCACTTAGAAACGCCATGTGAAGGTGGTACAGTTGTCAGCTCCAACTGAGGTCCCAGCTAACAAGCATCAACCTCCAGGTGCATAAGTAAAGACACCTCCAGATGATTCTGACCCTCATCTGCTGAATCCTCCTGAATCCCATGCCGCCCCCTCTCCCCATAACCCCTTTTATTGAGTTTTCCAAGCTGAGGCCAACAGTTCCTGCTGTGTTGTTTCCAAATTCCTGAACTACAGAATCTGGAGTGGCTGTTATGCAGCACTAGTAACTGGAAAAAAGCCCCAGGGATCCTTCTGTAAGTGGGGACCAAGAACTGTAGGGCCTGGTTTTTGCACAATACTGTGTGGGGTAGTGGTTAAAACATGGAGCTCTGGAGTTGGACAGGTCTGGATTCAAATTCTGGCACCTCCATCAACTGTTACAACCTAGGCAAGGTGTGATTATTATCCTCTTTGAACTTCAATTTCCTCATCTATAAAATGAGGACAATACTAGTAACCCGTCCTGGGGCTTTATGATAATGAAATATTTCATATACAGCATCTAGCAAAGTGAATAGCACAGAATAAATATAACTCTTAGCTTTTTTTTGTTTTGATGTGTGAAATGTTTGGATTCTCAAAGACTCCTACTAGTGCCTTCCTGATTCTCAGCTGTGTTGCAGATAATTGAGCTTTCCCAGGTGAATTAGGTTCTACTATGTTACTATTAAGTTTTGGCAATGTTATTTTCACGACTCAAAACGTGGAGAGAAAACAGCAGTATATCTCCCTTGAAGCAGAGGTTGCTAGATTGTAATTTAAAGCAGAGGGACCACATCTCTCTTTTCCACCACTGTATCTCTAGAGCAAACACAACTGAACACGTAGCCAGTGCTCAATAAGTAATAGTCTTGTGAATCACCATCAAATCCTATTCCTGTAGCCTTTGGATGACACGAAAGATGGACTCACCTTATCATCTCCTTATTTTCAGAATTATCAAAGATGAGGAATTTCCTGAAAAAAGTTTACCCAGAGGCCTAAAATTTCAATTTCTGTTACAACTTTTTTAGAATGTCTTAATTTTATTTAGGGCCACAGAGGCATATGAAATAATAAGATAATCCACTTTTCATATGTGGAGATGCCAAATATTTTCTCCAGATTCTTGAAACATTGTGACAGATATTAACAATTTGTTAAGTAATCAGCCCAATGCATTTTTGCATAAATTCTTGCGGTTTTGGTTTTTATGATTCAGAGGCCAAAATGATAATGTCAAGGAAGCACTGTGATTTAAATTAATTGTAACCTTAAACCTACTTCGTAATCACAGTCACACTAGGTAATGGCTTAATCTCCTTGTCACAGCATAGAGAAAATTAATTAGAGTGAAAATTTTGAACTGTGGCCAGGGATTTTGCTGTATTCTAGTGACCCAGTTTTAATGGAGATGCTAGACTCTGATTTTTATTAGGTGACACAGAAATAGGCTTCTCTCTGGGAGTTAGATAACCTTGAAAGCTTTGGCATTTTATTGATGACTAGTATAGAGGGTATAAAAGC